GCCCCAGCCTACATGTATATACATACACATATATATATATAGAGAGAGAGAGAGGCTCTCCTTTTTAAATTTTTTTTATTTTTTTTTCTAGTACCAGGAATCAAACTCACCACCTCGTGCTTGCCAGGCAGGCATTGTGCCGCTGAGCTAAATCCCCAGCCCCCTATATTTTTATGTTTTATCTTTTTATTTATTTATTTATTTATTTATTCTTTGGTCTTTTTGAGACAGGGTCTCACTATGCAGTTCAGGCTGGACTTGAGCTCACTTTGTAGCTCAGGCTGGTCTCCAGCTTGCAATGATCCTCCTGCCTCAGCCTCCCAAGTACTGGGATTATAGGGGTGAGCCGCCACGCCCGGCCCTTAAATTTTTAAAAAGTGGTTGATTCATTCATTGGGTCTTTTTTTTTTTTTTTTTTCTGGTACCGGGAATCAAACTCATGACATTGTGCTTGCCAGGCAGGCACTGTGCCGCTGAGCTAAATCCCCAGCCCCTCATTGGGTCTTTTTTTTGAGGCAGGGTCTCACTGTATAGCCCAGGCTGGTCTTGAGCTCATGGTGACTCTCCTGTCTCAGCCTCCTGAGTGCTGGGATCACAGGTGTGTGCCACTATGCTGGGCTTTGCCTTTGTATATGTTCCGGACTCCCAACCAAAAACAAACCAAATGGTACCGACTGACAAACACCAAGACGCACGGACCACCAATTGGAATTTAGGACGAGCCTTTATTCCTGGCCGGGGACTGACTGAGAGCCTCCACGGGGACTCCACATTTTGGGAGTCCAGGAAGGGCAGGGCGTTTACAACCAGTTTACAACCACACATTCCAGAAATGGTAAACATGAAGATCTAACCCCATGGCAGGGGTGGGAACTGGGGATTAAACTAGAACCTTTGATGTCTGAGGTGGGGCTTTTATAGTATGTAGCATGCTAGGCAAGTGTACCCACACTCCACCCCACTCCGCCCCAGCCCTTCTTTAAAAGCTTTGAGACAGGATCCCCCTGTTGGGGGCCAGGCGGTGCAGGGCCAGGCTGCCGGCCGCAGCGCTCTTGGCTGTGTCGGGGAAGCTCCTGCTCACGGCCTCTGAAGGAAGACAAGGCTGCAGCTGGGCCTGACTCTCGCTGGGAACCCGAGGGCAGTGCACTGCCAACCTCAGCGAGGAGACGGTTCTCCCCAGGAGCGAGCTGCTGCTCACAGCGTCTTTGTTCTAACTTCTCAAAGCCCTGCTCCCTTTCTCACCTTCCCCCTCAGCTCTTCCGTGCACTTCTCTACATGCCCCTGATTGAATGCCCAGTAGGTACCGGGGGTCCAGAGCAGTCTTCCAGCTCTAAGAGAGTTCTGACCTTTCTGGACTCCCCACAAACCACACTGCACGGTCTTTATTTAATCCTTTCCTATGGGCCGGGGATGTAGCTCAGTGGCACAAGCGCCTGCCTGGCAAGTGTAAGGTCCTGAGTTCGAGTCCCAGTACCAAAAAAAAAAAAATTCTTTTCTGTATACTCCTCTCTAACATTGGGAGTTTGGCCAGTTCCTGATATCCTACTATCTTGCCCAGGGTGGCTTCACACTTATGATCCTCCTGCCTCAGCCTCCCGGGTAACTGGGACTGCAGGTGTGCATGCCTGGCACACATTTTAATTTGGGCATTTGCTAGCTGCCCTCCAACACACAACATGCGAATCCACACTGCTCCAATAGAAGCACACAGAATTTCTTGTATCTACCACAACATTCTTTTTAAAGTTTTATACATCTTGTGGGAAAAAAAACCTACAAAAAATGATTTTTTATTCATTCACTTATTCATTTAATTACTTAAAAATAGTCATTCAGTACTCTTATGTACCAAGCACTGTGCTAAGCCGAAGGACAGTGAATGACCAGGACAGAGAACAATGCTCCTCTCCAGGATGTGGGATCTGACAGGAAATGACAGATGAATACACACTGTAGCATCAGAGAGGGCTGATTGATAAAGACAGTGTGGTGGCGCACACCTGTAATCCCCGCACTCGGGAGGCTGAGGCAGGAGGATCGTTGCGAGTTTGAGACCAGCCTGGGCTACACAGTGAGTTCAAAGCCAGCCTGAACTGCATAGTGAAACCCTGTCTCAAAAAGACAAAAAATAAAATAAAAAATAAATAAGAAGGGCTGGGGATACAGCTCAGTGTGAAGGCCCTGGGTTCTATCCCCAGGACTACAGAAAAATAAATACATGAATAAATAAGTGAATACATGGAACATAATAAAATAATGAGGGTCCGAGCTCAGCCCGGCTGGCGAAACCCGACGACCGAGTCCTTACACTTGCCAGTGCCTTGAGAAATCACCTCGGAGGGACGGCAGGGAAAATCCTGACTTCACTGAAGACTTACAGGAAGCTCCCACGTGACCCGCAGCGGGGATTCCCAGATTTCTCAGAGGCGCTGTTTGTTTCTTCCTCTTCTCCACCACCCTACAAACATCGGGCAGAGATGATCCGGAAGGGCAGACAAGGTCAGCCGCCCGTCTCGGCTTGCGGACCGGAAGCAGCGCTGTGGGGGGCCTGGGGCTCGGCCTGGGGAGTCAAATTTCCCAGCCTCCTCCTCGGCCCTGGGGCCCCCTGGGCCTGGGAGAAGGGGAAGCACTGCAGGTGTGAGGCTGAAAAACCAGGCGTCTGTCAGCCCAGTGTTACAGGCAGCTGAGTTAGATAGAAATATTACAGGCAGCCAGACAGGGCCAGTCCTTCGAAGGAGCCAGGATGGAAGACAAGATACTTTGCAAATGGAGAGGTGGTCCTTGCTCCGGGCTAGATCTCAAGACTAAAGATTAAACAAACACACCCTCCTACCTCCCTAGGGATGGGCATCAGGGATCGACATTCTAAATAGGTAGCCATCACCTTGCAGAGTCCCTGACCCAGCCCCTGACAGGAAAAGCCCCTGTTCTGTATTCATGCCCGCTTGCTGCGTGACTCGCTTCCCCATTTGATCCCAATTTAATCAATTTTACCTGAACAAGTCTTACTGGCTGACCGTAGTTTTGTCCACTCTCCCCTACCTTAGACCCACCTCCCCTTGTGGTTTTGTTCTATAAAAGTCCCTAGAAAAGACAGAGTCTTGGGGTAACCCACTTGGGCCCTCCTTCTGTCCCTCTCTTGGGCAGAAGCTTTCTTTTCTTTCCCTCAATAAATATATTCTGCTCTTAACCTCCGTTGTTCCTAAAGTTCATTCTTCGATTTTAGAGAACACGAACTCATCCCAGATATCATTCAGGTTGGGAGTTTTTATTTTCCTGTATCACCAGCACTGGGGAGGCTGAGGCAGGAGGGTCACCAGGAACCTGGGGCCAGGCTGGGCTCCACAGTGAGACCCCGTCTCAGGAAACCAAGAATGAAAAGCAGTCAAGCCCATATCTTTGGAGGTGAAGGGCATAAAATAAGCAAGTCTTAGGCCAGAAAAGCTGAGCTGGGTGGGCACCATCTCAGCTGCAGTGGGCTGGGCCAGGGGTTTCCTAACCCTGTGCACATAGCAACACTTCCTGTCTCGCTGGACCCGGCCGGATGGTGCCAGCTGCAGGTCAGGGGCGGCGCTGCTCCAGGCCTGCAGGGACTGCGTCCTGCCCGACGCTGCCCCATCCCTGGCGCAGTCAGGCCTCTTCGCGCCCCCAGAGCAAGAGGTCGCTTGTGCAGTGGGCCTGGCATCGCTGGTGAGGGGCTGGGGTTGGCACCAGGAGCTTCACACTGAGCCGCAGCCCAGCCCTGTCTTACACAGGCCTTGCTGAGTAGCCCAGGCTGGGCCACAACCACTGACCCTCCCGCCTCAGCCTCCCGAGTGCCGGGCTTTCGGGCGTGCACGCCTGGTTTACACAGTGCCGTCTGCGTGCCAGCAGCTGTGCCCGGCCTTTCAGAGGATAAACGTTTACTCCAGCCACCCTGAGGTGCTGTTTAAGGGGCTCGGGAGCCCGAGGGCCCCTGTACCCTCCGCTCTCAGTACAGGGCACTGAACCCAGGGAGTGCTGAGCCACGTCCTCAGCCTTTTAAAAGATGTTTTTATTTTGACCCAGGGCCTCATGAAGTTGGCCAAGCTGGCGTCAAACTTGTGATTCTCCTGCTTCAGCCTCCTGCATGCTGGGAGTGCAGATGTGTGCCATCCCGCCAGCCTTGGACGCTGCTATTTAAACCCGGCAGCCTAGAAATGTTCTCACAGCTGAAATGTGCCCAGGATCCAGCGACACAGGCTGGGCTCCGAGAATCCCTAAACTCTGTGTGTGGTGGTACAGGGCTGTAGCCCCAGCTCTCCGGGAGGCAGAGGCAAGAGTATCTCAAATTCTAGTCCAGGCTGGGCAATTTAGATCCTGTCTCTAACTTTATTTTTCTTCTTCCTCCTGTTCTGTTTTTGAGACAGGGTCTAGCTATGTAGTTCAGGCAGGGCTTGAACTCGCGGAGATCCTCCTGCCTTGGCCTCCAGCGTGCTGGGATTACAGGTGTGCGCCCCCATGCCCGCTGTGTAGTGCAGGTTGAGCTTGACCTCCGGGTAAACCGGGCTGGCCTCAAACTCCGTGATCAACTCTGTGATCCTCCTGCTTCAGCCTCCCGAGTGAGCGCTGCATTACAGGTGTGGCCATCACCGCTGGCTCAAAAAAGAAAATTTTAAAAGGGCTGGTAAGTCGCCCGCGGCAAAGCCCGCCCCAGCTCCCGAGGGCCCGCCCGCCCCGCATTCCTCCTCCGGCTGCGCCGATGGCCCGCCTCGGGCCACGGGGCGCCCCGCCCGCAGGCGCGCGGGAGCAGGGCGGGCCGCGGGGGTGGTGCCCGTGCTTCCCGCGCCTTGGGAGGCTGAGGCAGGAGGGTGGCGAGCAGCCGGGCAGCTTAGTGAGTTAGCGAGACTCCGAGGCTCCGGGTCTTAATAAAGAATAAACGAAGCAGAAGACCGGCCGGGGACGCGGAGCGGCGCGATCCGGGACAGCGGGCGGGAGGCGGGGCGGGGGCCGCCCGGGGTTGCGCAAGAGCCGGGCGCGGCGGGGCTGGGGACTCGGGACTCGGGACTCGGGTTCGGACGCGGGGCTCGGGGACTCGGGGCTCGGCTCGCACCCCGCCGCCCGCTTTGTGACCTCACGGCGCCCGGCCGCGCGCGCCATGTGCGGCCTCCTGCGGGGCCTGGCCTTCGTGCCCTTCCTGCTGGTCACCTGGTCCGCGGCCGCCTTCCTCATCTCCTACGTGGTGGCCGTGCTGGCGGGGCACGTGGACCCCTTCCTGCCCTACATCAGGTGATCGGGGGCGGGGGCGCGGGGCCGCCGAACACGGGGCGGCGGGCGGAGACTCAGGCGCGCGGGTGCCGCCCAGGTGCCCCGCAGCTTGCGCCCCACGCCTGTGCGCCCCAGCTTTTCCCCCCTTTCTGCCTCGGGGATGGAACCCAGGTCCTTGATCCCCAGCCCTTCTTTAACTTTGGTTTTTGAGACAGGGTCTCTCCAAGCTGCCCAGGCTGGGCTCACACCGCAGACCCTCCTGCCTCAGCCTCTACTCGAGCCTTGCGGTGCCCAAGCTCTCGGAGCGGCAGCGACAGCCTGCGCCCCGAGGCAGGGTGCTCTGTCCCCATGGCTCCTCCGGGTTTCCGCTCACCGGGCCCCCAGCAGCCGGGTCCCGGGCTGCCTCATCCCTGGCCCCTGACCTCTGGCCCTGGTGCTGTGTAGCCCAGGCTGGCCTCAAACTCTCCGCCATCCTCCTGCCTCAGCCTTCCTAGTGCTGGGATTACAGGTGTCGCCACCTCGCCCAGCCGTTCTGTTGCAGGAAGGGCCAGGAGGGGACAGTCTGTCCTGTCCCAGTACTGCGTGGGGCACCCGGGAGACGGAGCTGCCCCCCGAAAGCCGGTCCCAGCCAGGACCACAGGGGCAGAACCCCCAAGACCTGACCTGCGCTGCGGGGCGCTGTTAGACCTCGCGGCCTCTTTGCTTTCACCCCGGTGGCACTGGGTGGAGCCCAGGGCTTTCACCCTGAGCTACGCCCCCGACCCTTTCTTCACTTTTTACTTTGACCCATGGTCTTGCTGGGCTGCAAAGTTGCCCAGACGGGCTCAGACTTGAGATCCTCCTGCCTCAGCCTCTGGGATCACAGGGGTGCGCTGTGCCTTGCATCTGCAGACCTGCGGCCCCTCCTGAGCAGAGAGGAGGCACAGCAAAGGGGGACGCCCTCACCCCCAGCCTCACTGGCACCCGGCTCAGAGGCCACAGCTGTCAGATGAGCACGATGGCTCCTGAGGAGGACAGGGCCACCGCCCGGCGACAGGCGCCCCGGGCAAGTGACACGAGACGCGGCTGGCCCGGGGCTGAAGCAGGCTGGACGGGGACGCTGCCGCGAATCGTGCTTCACCGCCCGGCCGGGCGTGGACCTCACGAGGGGGCAGGAGAGGGAGGGACAGCTGGGCGCGGTAGGCACGCCTGGGAGGCTGAAGCAGGAGGGTCGCTGGGAATTCCAGGCCAGCCTGGGCTCCAGAGCGACGTCCTTTCTCGAGAAACAGCAGAGGGAAGGCCTTCGGTGCCTGTGACCCACGGGGTGGGCAGAAACCTAGAGGTTTTATCAGGCTGGTGGAGAGACACAAAAACGCCTCTCACACACAGGGGTGGGAGTAGAAATTCGTTTTTTTCTTTTTCATTTGTTTTTGTATTTTAATTTAATTTTTCACGGTCCTGCGGGCAGAACCCGGGGCCTCACACACCAGGCTAGAGCTCTGCCCCTTAGCCACGCCCTCCGTGCCTCGCTTTGGGCAGGGGTCTTGCTAAGTTGCCCAGACTGGCTTTGAAATTGCGATCCTCCCGCCTCAGCCTCCTGAGTGGTGGAGATGACAGAAGCGAGCCGATGCGCCTGGTTGTAAATTGGTTTTAATCTCTGTGTTGGGAATTTGGCAGAAGTCCGTGAAACACACTGGCGCATCAGCCCTCGGACGCTGTGCCGCTCTTAGATGCCAGCTCAGGGGTCCGGGCCTGTGAACGGGTGGGGAGGTCGCTTACAGCACTGCTTACGCGGACTGACTTGGGTGCTGGTAGAGCTCCGGCCTGTGTGTGCGAGGCAAGCTGTGCCGCTGGACTGTGCCGGCCTGGCGTTGTCTTTGGTTTTCGTTTTTTCTTTTGGCGTAGTGGGGACCCAACCCTTCTCCCCCAGCCTCGGCTCTGCTTCGATTTTGAGACAGTGTCTCACCAAGTACTCACTGGCCCCGGCTGGGCTGGAATTTGCGATCCTCCTGCCTCAGCCTCCCGGAGTGCTGGGATTGCCACACCTGGCTTTGTATGTATTCCTTTTCTCAGCCAGATGTGTGGATTTCCTATCAAAAAGGTGAAACAGGAGGTTCAGACTCCCTCAAACTCGAGCAGGCCGGAGCAGCCGCAGGACGCAGGCCGGGGCGCGTGTCAGAACTGAGGGCCGAAGAGTCACCTCGGGCCGCGCTGCGCCACGCCTCCTCCTGCTCATCTCAGGGTTCGAGGCCGGGGTTTGCCGTACCTGGGACCCCACTCCCTGTGCGGAGTTGTACTCCCCAGACAGGACTTCATTCTTTCTGTCCCCTTCCCACCTGCAAACCACCCGCCTCCCTGCGTCCTCCGATCTGCCTTTTCCTTTGCTGTTTATGGATGACCTTGGTTTCTCATACGAGAAATTGAAGCTTGTCATGGTCTCAAGGCACATCCGCTTTCCTACCAATGCCCCCAGTTTATCTTTTTTTTTTTTCTTTTCCCCCCAGTGCTGGGAATTGAACTCATGACCTTGCACTTGCCAGGCAGGCACTGTGCCGCTGAGCTAAATCCCCAGCCCCCAGTTTATCCTTCTTGAAGGCAGAGTAGTATTCCACTGTGTGTAAATGCCACACCTTTTTTATCCATTCCTCTGCTGATGGACACGTAGGCTGCTTCTAAGACTGAGCCGTGGTGAGCTGTGGGGCTGTAAGTGCGGGTGGCCGTGCAGCCTGCAGTATGTGTGAGCTCTGGCGGGGAGACGCCCGCAAGGGGACAGCTGGGTCGAGTGGGATTTTTAGCTGTAGCTGTTGAGGAATCACCTACCACGTCTTTTACTTCTGCCCTGCTCTGGGACTTTTCACCGCGTGGTGGCTGAGGAAGAAGAGGTTTGGCCAGGGTTTTAATTTCAGAAAGGAAAGGGAAAATCAGGAAAAGTAAGATTTTAATTTCCATTTACTTAACAATCAGAATTTAATTTATACTCACAAGTATGTGCTAATACATGAGCATAAAACGATTTGGAAGCTGTATTTTATTTTTGAGGGAGTGGAGCTGGGACCCGAATTCAGGACCTTCACACTGGGCTACACCCACAGCCCTTTTTATTTGTATTTATTTATTTTCCTAACGTTGAGACAGTGTCACTAAATTGCTGAATTCCCCAGGCTGGACTCAAGTTGACAGTCCTCCTACCTCTGCCTCCTAGAGGGCTGGGAATATAGGTGTGCCCCCCTAGTCCTGGCCATTTTTTTCCTTCTTTGGTTTTTTGAGACAAGGTCTCATTATGCAGTCAGGCTGGCCCTGAGCTTGTGGTGACCCTCCTGCCTCAGCCTCCTGAGTGCTGAGACGCCAGGCCTGCGCTTCCACGCCGCCTACCATTAGTATGCCATTTTTATTGTGATTGTGTGGCTTAACAATCGACTGGTGAACCATTAATACGGAGAGAATTGTAATTCCTAAAGAAGTTCAGCTGACTGGCAAGAGTCCAAAGAGATGAGTTGCGGTTACCAGCGGATCCGACACCTGTGAAGATTTAAGAGCGCCGCGGGGCGTGCCGGTGCACACCTGGGTCACAGCACTCGGAGGCTGAGGCAGCAGGGTCACCGAAGCGTTCAAGGCCAGCCTGGGCTGCACGGTGAAGCCCTGTCTCCCAAAACAAAACAAGAACAAAAGACTTGAGAAGGCTGGATTTAAAAATAGAAAGATTCTGCCCTAACTTGCGCTAAAAGGGGCTTTCAAGATTCCTTCCACCGCGGAGGAAGCGAAACTGAAAGCAAGAGGCTTCCGAGCAGAGCCGCTGGGAAGCAGGGGTGGGATGGCGAGTTTGGGGGCGGTGCCCCGTGCCCTAGGGAGTTGGACAGAAAGAGTCGCGCACGGGGTCTCTGTAGACATCGCTGCCCCGACATCTGGGGGACACTTGGTCACTGCCAAGGCACTGGGGGTGGTGCTGCACAGATGTCCCTAAAGAACAGTGTCACGGGAAGGGCACGCGGGGGTGTGATTTTAAAACTTTTTGCTAGAAAACTCTGTCTTAGCCCGGCACTTGGGAGGCTGAGGCAGGAGGATCACCGCGAGCCTGAGACCATCCTGGGCCACGCAGTGAATTGTGGGTGCCCCGGCTGTGTGGCTCTCCCTGTCTCTGGGACCTGGCGAGTTACTTTCTAACCGTGTCCTTTGTCTTTAAGATGCAAGCTCAGTACTTTCCTAAGGACACGGTGAGGCTGTGACACATGGTCCTAACAGAAATGGGGTGCTGAAGAGATAGATGTTCGTGTCTACTTTTTTTCTTTTTCTTTTTCGCGGTACTAGGGATGGAACCCAGGGAGCTACTTCCAAGCTTTTCGTTTTTTATTTTGAGACAGGGTCTTGCTAAGTTGCCCAGGGCTTGAACTTGAGATCCTCCCGTCTCAGCCTCCCAATTGCCCGGACCTTTTTGTTTTATTGTGGTTGTATTCACGGTGCCCACAAAATTGCCTGCTGAACAGAAGGTGCTCACTCTTCTGTGTGCCGAAGAATGTATCACTGCAGCTTGGCTGGGTACCGAGCTCTCGAGGGTCCTGAGCGGTCTCCCCACCTGAGTGTCCCTAGCACCAGCTCCCATGGCCGCGGCGGGTCGGGGAGATCTGCGGGTGAGTGGCTCAGAGGTGTCTGCCACACTTTTTGCCCATGAAGGGTGATTGTGTAACTCGCTTTGCAGAGGAGCGAACGATCCTGTGACTGCAGGGCCCAGCGGAAAGCTTGGGAGAGGAGGCCGCTCTGCCCACAGCGGCTCCCGGGCCCAGCGCAGTAACAAATGTCCCCGCACTTGTTTCAGGCTGTCCTGAGGACCGAGCCCAGGGCCACTTTGCTGAGCTGCATCCTTAGTCCTGTGGTTATTTATCACATTTTTGAGACAGGCTCTTGCTAAGTCACCCAGGCTGGTGTGGAACTCGAAGCGATCCTCCTGCCTCAGCCTCCCCAGTGCTCGGATGGCAGGTGTGTGCCAGCATGCCTGACCTGAATTCTTTCCTAATAATGTGGACGTTTCTTCTCCCCCAGCGACACGGGAACGACGCCTCCGGAGAGCGGCATTTTTGGGCTCATGATAAACTTCTCTGCGTTTCTGGGTAAGAGCGTCAGCACTGTGAGTAAAATCGCCCCACTCAGGAGAGACAAACGATGTCACCTGTCGTTAAAGCGCCTCTCTGCCGTCCTGGGGTGGAGCTTGGGGCACGTGCTCCCGCCTCAGCCCTTTGCATTGTTTAAATATTGAGACGGAGATCCCTTCCATTGCTCAGGCTGGCCTCGAACTTGCAATCCTCCTGCCTCAGCCTCCTGTATAGCTGAGATTATAGGCAAGGGCCACCGTGCCTGGATGGTTTTTTCTTTTGTTTTGGTTTTTGTTTTAGTACAACCTTTGCCACTAGAAATTTGCCAGTCCTGGGAAACTAAAGTATGGAGACATCTGGAACTGCTGGTGGCTTCTTTGTCCAGTGTGGGCCGCTCACCCTGTCCCGTCCCTCCCGCTCCGCTCTGTCTGGCCGTCTGACCCTGGAGCTGGCGCAGGTGTTTTTTTTATTTATTTAGAGATACGGGAAGGATATTATCAGACCTGGAGATGCAGGACGCACTCAGAACGGAGTGAGGTGCTCAGCAAAATGAGACACCTGTTACAGGGGCTTCTAGACCTGCAGACTTTTCAAGAGGATTTTAAATGGTGTTTTGTTTTGTTTTGTTTTGGGACAGGGTCTCATATGTAGTACAGGCTGGCCTTGAATTCATGATGATGCTCCTGCCTCAGCCTCCCAAGGGCTGGGATTATAGGCCTGCGCCACTAGGCCCAGTTTAAATTTTTTTCGCCATACTAGGGTTTGAACCCAGGGCCTTTGCCCTGAGCTATAGCCACAGCCTTTTTTATTCTTTTTATTTTGAACCAGGGTCTCACTAAGTTGCTAAAGTGCCCAGGCTGGATTCAACACTGGGATCCTCCTGCCTCAGCTTCCCAGAGTGCTGGAATAGCAAGTATACACCAACATCTCTGGTGGCATTTTTTTTTTTTTTTTTTGAGATAAGTTTTCACTCTGTAGTCCCGGCTGGCCTCCAGCTCACAGCGATCCTCCTGCCTCAGCCTCCCGAGCGCTGGGATTACAGGCGTGCGCCACCACACTCAGCAGGACCTCTTTCCCTTCCCTTCTTTCTCGCGGGGCTGGGTGGAGCCAGGGCCTGGGGCTCCGCGGTGCCAAGGGCGGCGCCACGGCCAGCCGAGCCCTCCAGCGCCGCTCGCTTGCTTCCTTGCAGGAGCGGCCACAATGTACATGCGCTACAAGATCGTGGAGAAGCAGGGTCAGGCCAGCCTCCACGGGACGCCGCTGCTCAACGCCGTGTCGCTGGGCCTCGGCCTGGCGGGCTGCGTCGGGATGGGCATCGTGGCCAACTTCCAGGTGGGCGTGGTCTGGGCCGGGGAGGGGCGGGGCCGGGCAGCCCCGCGGGGCTCATGGCAGCTTGGAATCCACTCATCCCGCTCAGGAACTCTCCTTTCCTGCGGTGCTGGCGCCCCCAAGGCGCATTCTTCTGTTTTCACAACTTTTTGTTTTTTTTTTGTTTTGTGTTGTCTTTTTGAGACAGGGTCTCGCTATGTAGCCCAGGCTGGCCTTGAACTTGTGATCCTCCTGCCTCAGCCTCCCAGGTGTGGAGATGACAGGCACGGACCTGTGCAGTTTTCCTATGTGGCACACAAGAAGTTCACGAAAACATCCCCCGCCATGACCTGTGTGGTTGTAACAGGAGCCTTCGAAGAGAGTGACCTGGCCCTGTGCAGTGACCCGGGAGGAGGGGAGAGAGGCCACCTGCCCAAGGGGCCCGCGTGCCCGAGCTGGTGGGAGGGGCCGAGCACAGGAAGGGTTCCCACTTTTGTGAAGGCGCCTGAGAGCCCCCGGTGTCCTGGGCTTCCTGGGGGACCCCTCTTCCACTCAGCTCACAGCTCCACCTCTGGAGAGTGAGGTGAAGATGAAAAGCAGGGAGAGGAGCTGTGCACCTGGAATCCCAGTGCTCTGGGAGGCTGAGGCAGGATGATCGCAAGTTCAAGCCCAGCCCGGACCACTTCATGGCTTAGTGAGATGGTTTCAAAATGAAAAGGAGCTGGGGCTGCGGCTCAGGGTGAAAGCCCTGGGTTTGACCCCTGCACCACAGGAAAAAGAAAAAGCCATTTCCTTCTTGGGTTGGTGTCTGATCACTGCAGAACTCTTCAGTTTGTGGTTTTGTTTGTGATACAAGTCACGTTGGACTGAGGAGACTTACATGCTGTTTCTTTTCGTTTCTTAACTGTCTGCTTTCCACGCTAGTGGCGCAGAATCCCAGCGTAGCGGCGTACGCTCGCCGGCCCGGCGGAGGACGGCGTCGCCGCTCTCTGCCTGACAGCGTGGGGGACGGCTGGGGGAGGAAAGGCCTTCTGGTTAGGCCGTTTGTCTCTCAGCTCCAGCTCTCCTGTGACGTTCTCTGGCTGTTAAACACAAACCTCCGTCTCGCTTCCACACTTCTGTAAAATCAGGTTTGCACGGCGGTGTGCAGTCTTTACAGTTCTGTCTCAGGCGGAGGTCCCCATGGCTTGTGGGGAGCTTTGCAGAGAGCAGTTTTGTTTCCCTCATGGTTTGGGATCCTTTTTCCTTTTTCCTTTTTTTTTAGATTTTGAGACAGGGTCTCACTTAGTACTTCAGATAGACTTCAACTCACTCGAACTCTCGGCAGTCCTGCCTCAGCCTCCTGAGTGTTGGGATCATGGGCGTGCACCACCATCCCTCGTTCCTGAGGCTTGTTTTTTTTTTGTCTTTCTGAGACAGGGTCTTGCTATACAGTTCAGGCTGGCCTTGAACTCACTTTGTAGCCCAGGCTGGTCTCGAACTGGCAATGATCCTCCTGCCTCAGCCTCCCTAGTGCTGGGATTACAGGTGTGTGCCACCGTGCCTGGCTTTTGATGCTTTGAATGTAGCTGTTTGTTTGGTTTTTTAAAATTAATTTTATTGGCACATTTTAGAGCTACATAATGATTACGTTCATTAGAGGAAGTTTGTACCTGTACATGATATTTCTTGTTTGTTTTTTTGAGACAAGGTTTCACTGTGTAGTTCAGGCTGGCCTTGAACTTAATGTGTAGCCTAGGCTGGCCTCAAACTCAAAGCGATCCTCCTGCCTCAGCCTTCTGAGTGCTGGCATTATAGGCATATGCTACCATGCCCAGCAGGGTGAACTATTTTTTGATAAGATCTTTATCACTAAAATCATATCTTTATTATATAATTTTAACAGTTGAGTTTATGTTTGAAATATAAATCCACTCAAATTAATTAAAATAAGCTCTTAAAAATGTATTATTTTTAACAAAGGTGATGTAAGTAGAATAAATGCATGCCACTCACTGTAGAAACAAAATTACCCTTTTAAAAATTCTGTCACTTGAGAGAAGACAGGATGTTACATTAAAATAAACCAGGCACAGGGAGACAAACAGCACCAGACCCCCGTGCATGAGGTTGAAGAAGTCAGAGCAGACGCGGCCGGGCGGGGACCCAGGTCGGGTGTGGGGTCGGGAGCGTGGGCTGGCACAGAACAAGGCTTCAGACAGGACAGTGAGTTCTGGAGACCTGCCGCTGCCGTGATAGACTGCAGAGATCAGCATAACTAAAGCAGTGTTGGGAGAGAAGGCTGAGGCAGGAGGATTTCCACAACTTCAAACCTGGCCTGGGCTACAAAATGGGACCTTGTCTCCAAAAAGAAAATGATTCCTAAACAGACTTTAAATGTTGTGACCACGAAAAATGGTATGCAGGTGAGGCTCTGGGTTTACTCAGCTAGAGCTAATCCTCTCACCATGGAAACATATATCGAAATGTAGACAAAATCCCCTACATGTTTGCTGATGAAAAATAAAATTTAAAAATACAAATATCCTTTATGAAAAAGATTTTCTATGTTTAACCTCACGGTAATCTAGTGTTCTTTGTGTTTTACTCTTTTTTAAATTAGCAAGAAAGCTGGGTATGGTGGCGCATGCCTGTAATCCCAGCACACAGGAGGCTGAGGCAGGAAGATCACTGTGAGTTCAAGGCCAGCATGGGCTACAAAGTGAATTCAAGGCCATTCTGAACTGTATAGTGACACCCAACCTCAAAAACAAAACAAACAAACAAAAGTAAATGAGCAAGAAAGTTTCTTTTTTTAATTTCCTTTTTAATTTTTTTCTTTTTTTTGAGACAAGACCTTTCACTGTGTTGTTCAGGTTGACTAACTCACTTTGTAGCCCAGGCTGGTGCCAAACTCACAGCGATCCTCCTGCCTCAGCCTCCCAAGTTTTTTTTTTTTTTTTTTTTTTGGTACCAGGAATGGAACTCATGACCTCAGGCTTGCCAGGCAAGCGCTTATGCTGCTGAGCTATCTCCCCAGCTAGCCTCCCGAGTTCTGCAGACAGGGTTGCCTCATTGGGCGTGTCCTGTGGCAGACGTGGCCTGTGGTGGGCCTGTGGTGCAGTGTGGTGACACACGTGTGGTCCTGTCCCTAGGAGCTGGCCGTGCCCATGGTCCACGACGCGGGTGCCCTGCTGGCCTTCGTGTGCGGCGTGGTGTACACGCTCCTGCAGTCGGTCATCTCCTACAAGGCCTGTCCGCAGTGGAACAGCCTGTCCACGTGCCACGCACGCATGGCCATCTCCGCCGTGTCCTGCGCCGCTGTCGTCCCCAGTATCCTTTGTCGGTGGTCACTGTTGGGGGCAGGGGGAGCTCGGGCAGGCCGGGGCCGCTGTGGCAGGTGAGGAGCCAGCGGGGCCGGGGCTCGTCCCACTGAGCAGGGACAGCGGGAGAGCGCGCTGCAAGGCCAGGCGGGTCGCTGCGATGCGGTGAGAGGACGCTGGTCAGATACGGAAAGTGGCACGAACAGAGCTCTGAACTCGAGGTGATCCTCCTGCCTCAGCCTCCACACCCAGCTCCTTTTTCTCCTCCCGCTTCCTTTTCTTGTTACTGGCACTGGGGTTCAGACCCAGGGCCTTAGTTATACCACTGAGCTGTACCCGCAGACCCTTTCCAGGTTTAGTTTGAGACAGAGCCGACCTCCAACTTGTGACCCTCCTGCCTCAGCCTCCTGAGTAGCTGGGATGACAGGTGTGTGCCACCATGCTGGGCAGGTAACAGTCAGTTTCCACTCGAGGACAGGTCACAGGTTGGGAAGAGGGCGAATCATTAAGGCGCTGGCTCAGCTCCGGGTGGGAGGGACGGGAGGGACGGGAGAGTGTAGCACCCTTGAGCCCTGTTGACTTCCTGCTCCCAGCTACTGGGCTGTGACAATATTTATTTTTCCACGCAGTGCTTGACTAAAGACACCAAATATTGATACTGCACTCAGGGCCAAGGCCCGGGCCCTCCCGAGCCCCGGGCCCTCCTGTGAGGTGTGGGCCTGCGGCCCGCTCGTCCCCAGGGAGGGTCTGGAAGACTTGGCTTTGCGCTGGCCCCAGTTCAGGCCTTTCTGTCCTGCGATCATGCTATGAAAGGAAGTCCGTCCCCTCTCCCCGAGCACGGCCGCCCTGTGCTCGTCCGGAAATGAAATTGTGGTGGGGTCGGGGAAAGTGCAGAGGCGGCCCGCGGCGGCCCGCGACGACTCGCTCCATCACCGCCTGGGGAAGTGGGAAGGGCTGGGCTGGTTTCTGAGACAGAAGTAGCCCAGGCTGTCCTTGAACTCACTGAGATCCTCCAGCTTCAGCCTCTCAAGTGCTGGGATTACGGGTATGCGCCACCATGCCCGCCTGAGGGAAGTATTTTATAAGTGGCGGTTTGTTAGCCTGGGCTGGGTCAAGCCCAAACCTGTGTGTGTGCATGTGTGTGTGTGTGTGTGCGTGTGTGTGTGTGTCTTGCCCTCCCCCAACTCACTCCCAAGGTTGAGCCCTTTTTATATGAGACGGGGTCTCACTAAGTCACTCACACTGGGCTTGAACTTGAGATTCTCCTGCCTCAGCCCTCCAGAGGGATTCAAGGTGTCAGCCACCATGCCCGGCTTTACAAATTGTGAAGAGTGAGTGTTTTTTTTTTCAATCTCAGGGAAGGAAAATGTTAATTACAAATTTCCTGAGCCTTGAGAAACTAGGAAAGTCTGGAGAAATTTACTAACAGTGCACACCCTATTCCTGAGACAGTCCCTCTCCGTTTCCTTGTCCTGTTTATGGGAAGGCTGAGGCGGGAAGATCACAAGTTTGAGTCCCACCCGGCAGTTTAGTGAGATTCAGTCTCAGAATAAACAGGAGCAGGGAGTGAGCTCAGCTCAAAGACCCTGCTTCAGCCGTCGGTGGCGCTGTGTGTCTCTCCCCGAATGGACGTGCTTGGAGCTCTCAGCTTGTGCTGGTTTGTGTGTACATGTGTCTGTAGTGGAAAAACGGGTTTCTGTAGAGACACTTTCCTAGTGGGTAACCCGTAGAGACAGAGCCCGGCCAGGGAGTTTCAGCAGAATAAGCGTTGCAGGCCTCCGTGTTGCCCATCCTGGTAAATAGTTCTGGTCTCTAGGCGCTTCTGACTGTGGTCGGTACTGAAGGTGGCCCCCAAGCGCAGAGGCTCACGGGCGTGGGTGGGTGAGTCCGTCCACGTGAAGTCTCAGCCCTGAGCTGCACCTGCTCTGGCATCCCCTTGCAAAGGACTAGAAGCCTCTTTTAGAAACCCTTGTGGGCCCCCTGGCGACATTTCTGTGAAATGGGCTCTTTTTTTTTTTTGGTGAGACAGGGTCTTGCTATGTAGCCCGGGCTGGCCTTAAACTCACAGCGATGCCCTGCCTCAGCCTCCTGAGGGCTGAGATTTACAGGTATGAGCCACCATGCCCGGCTCTTATTGATTTATTTTAAGAATCACTGGTGATGGAGCCCAGAGACTGCTGGGCTGCATTCCCGGCCCTTTTTATTTTTCTATTTCAAAATAAGACCTCGAGAGGTTGCCCAGGTTGGCGTCGACCTTGGGAACCTCCTGCCTCAGCCTCCTGCATGGCTATCGAGCCCAGTGCCCTGGGGATGAAAGTAGATTTGAAGCTGTCAAGAGTCCGAAGCATGTGGTGTGTGGTGAGATGATCGGACCTTCTGTGTGTTCTTCTTTTATGTTGGGAAACAGGATTGAAGCATTTCAGGGCGTGAAGGCTGTGTGGAGGGACCCGGGAGTGATTCAGAGGAAGCTCGGACTTTCACTGGCTCAGCACTCTCTGTCTCTCTGTCTCTGTCTCTGTCTCTGTCTCTGTCTGTCTCAAGGTCTCATTATGTAGCTCAGGCTGCCTTTGAACTCAGTACCCTCCTGCCTCAGCCTCCCGAGTGCTAGGGTTGCAGGCGTGCACCACCACACCTGGCTGACTCAGCCCTTTCTTTGAATTCCTGTTGTTTCATTTGTTTGCTTTTCTGAGACAGGGTCTCTGTGTAGCCAGGCTGCCACCAATTCACTACACAGGCCAGGCTGGCCTCAAACTCACAGTGATCCTCCTGCCTCAGCCTCCTCCCCACGCCCAGGTTTAAATTCGTAAGTTTTTGTATATTTGAGAGTTTTCTCCTCCTCCAGGTCGCTCACTGCCCTGGTGCAGATGGGGTGTCTGGGTCCTCAGCCCCGCTGGCCTCAGATGGCCCGGTGCGCGTGGTGAACGTTCCCCCAGGCCCAGGGCTGGCCGGGTCTCGGACACGAGGTCTTCGGGTGAGGACGGGCTCCACGCACCCCGACTTGCTCAGTGCAGTGTTCACGGCCCCGGTGTCGCCTTAAGCACAGCGCTTAGGGGCAGGTCCTTCTACTCAGCTGTTCAGAAAGGACCCCTCCGGCCCCACGCAGCCTCTCGTGGGGACCCCAGACACACGGGGTCAGGCAGGACGCGGCCACCCGGACAGTCGTGTGTGTCGCTGGGCAGCGTGTTGCGGGCAACTGTGTCCGGGTAGAGTGTGTGCTCGTGGGTGGGGTGCAGTTATCAGATGCGTTGGAGCTGCTGTGGCGGCAGAAACATGGCACCCAGCATTTTAACATCGCAGCCATCCGTGGCAGGGTCTCCCCTACAGTTTGGGAGGCTGAGGCAGGAGGATCTCAAATTTGAGACCAGCCTGGGCTACCTGTAGAGATCTTGTCTCAAAAAAGGAAAAAAACCCCGTCTTGGTACTGCAGCGAACACAGTAGTGTCCTTAACGGCTCCCCGCTTAGTGATCGCCTGTGCGTCCCTGATTTCTATAACCAAGCTGGAATGGAACCCTAAAGAGAAGGTGACGCTGGAGTTGCCCCACTGTCACTGTTGCCTGGCGGGGCGAGTCCTGGGCCCGCCACCGCCGGGGACAGGTTGGACCCGGGGCAGACATGCTACAGAGTTGGCCCCAGGCGGCCCCAGGGGGAAGCGGGACGAGCCGCAGGCGCACGGGCTTTCTGGGGCTCCGGAGTCCGGGTCTGCCCGGCGCATGGCCAGGGCTCCGGGTGGGCTTGTGAGGTGGGGACAGGCACCGGGACCAGGACGAGGAGGAGAGGCTGCCCCGCCCTCAGGGTGACTTGGGGGATTTCTTCGCTCAGAGTTAAAGCAGAAGGGACGGCTGTCTCCGGCAGACCAGATGCCCGTTTTCAGGAACCTCGGCGCCTGGTCTCCTTGGTACCCTGGTGGTGACAAAGACATGGCGTTAGCAGGGCCACCTCACCCTGGGCCGCCATGGCCCGGCCTTGGTTAGGAGTCCAGGAGCCGCTATCTCCGGGCTGATTTCCAGGCTCTGAATCCCCAGTCTCGTCTGCAAACCCCTCAGCCCTCCATGCTCATGAAAGGTGGAGCCCAGGACGCCCGCGCTTGAAGCAGGGTCTTGCGGAGTCCCTCAGCTGCCCCGGCTGGGCTGGAGCCTGACACTCTCCTGCCTCAGCCTCCCAGAATGCTGGGATGGCAGTCGTGCATGGTCACGCCCTGTGAGTTTTAAGTCTTTATCTGGGGTAAACCAAGGAATTTCTTTCCAGAACAGTGGACCTGAGGCCTCTAACCGGGAGTGAGCGTTTCTTGGGTGGACGCCTAGGTGGCAGCGAAGGGTGGGCGACCCCCCAGGAGGTAACAGAGGGCGACAGCACCACAGCAGGAAGCCGCCAGGGCCCAGGGACCCTCGTCCCCAGCCAGGACCGAGTGGAAGGAGGAGCTGGGGCCACAGAAGGGCGGAACGGGCAGCCGGGTGGCTTCACTGACCGCATCCTCACCACGAGAAGACTTCGGGGACACTGGAGTTGGGGGGGCTCGGGTCCCCGAGGAAGCCTGGACGTTAGTGGGGCCCACCGCCAGCTGTCCCTGCCAGAGGCAGCACTTTGAGGCCCAGTGCGGGGCTAAGCACACGCCTGTCACCCCAGCACTGGGAGGCTGAGGCAGGAGGATCGCTGTGAGTTCTAGGCCAGCCTGGGCTCCACTGGACAGAAAACCAAATGTAACATTAAAATGGCCAAGTGAGCCGGTGGGGCAGGGGGAAGGGTGCTGTCCTTCAGGCAAGGGACGCAGCCCGCCACTCCCTCCTGAGGACGAGGTTCCTCATACTTCCGGAAGCCTGGGGTCTTTCCTGCCTAGTCAGTGGCTGGGCGCCCCACAAATCCGGCAGAGCCTTTGGGGCATCCCGGGAACTCCCCGCTGAGCTGTGGGAACTTTGACAAACCGGGGTCACTGTGGCCCCTTGGCCTTTGCCCCCAGGGATGGTCAGAGTTGTGCCCTGAGACACTGGGGAGTTTCCCACGCCCACTCATTCATTCTTTCCAGGCAGAGTCTCACCGTGGCCCAGGCTGGCCTTGCATTCCCTGAGATCCTCCTGCCTCGGCCTCCCCAGTGCTGGGATTACAGGCGTGCGTGCCCACGCCCGCTGGAGAAGTTTTTTATTTCTGTCAAGTCCAGAACTGCTCCCCAGCCGGATCTAGTTGGTGGTCCTTGTGCTGCCCCAAATCTGGGGTGAGGGCCACAGACCGGCCGGGCTCAGCACCTGGTGTCCGCTCCTGGTCCTGCCCTGTCCGGTGGCCTTGTTCCCTGGATTCTTCTCCAGCTCCCCGTCTCTGCGCGGCGGCGGCGGCGGCGGCGGCGGCTTTTCCTGCGGTTGCGCGGAGCTGCCGGCGCGGGCTGACTCCCTGTCTCTTCTCGCGGCCAGGACTACGTGTACCACGTGGTGAGCGCCGCCTGCGAGTGGACCGTGGCGTTCGGCTTCATCTTCTACTTCCTGACCTTCATCCGGGATTTCCAGGTGGGCGCTGTGCCCGCCCCAGGGACGCACGGGGAGGACGGCTCGAGGCAGGCGGGGCCCAGTCCTTCACCCCGATGTCCCCGAAAACGCGCTGGCACTTGCAGCCTCGTGGTCTCCCCTGTCCCCGGAGGACAGGTCCGTCACCGCCGGGTGGGTGGCTCTTTCCCGTGTCCTCCGCCCCTGATGCCAAAAGCCACGTGTTGAAAAATGTTCCCAAGGCCCTTACACACCTGTGTCGCTCAGGCTGGCCTCAGACTTGCTGAGATGCTCCTGCCTCAGCCACCACAGCCAGCAGCGCAGCGTTCTTGGAAACCTCGTTACGAGCGTGTGTTTGCAGGACCCAGTGGTGACGTGTGTTGTGGAATTGGGGCCTGCGTGTCACGCTTCTAGATCACGGCTGAGCCCTTCCCCGTGTCTCGTAGGATGTGACCCTGAAGATATCCACAGAGATCAAGGGCGACCTCTGAAGACGTCTCCCCGTGCTGGCGCTGAGAGACCGCGTCCTCCCGGTGGCCGTCGGTGCTGAGACTGAGTTTAAGAATTCTCCGTAGTTGTACCTTTATAAGGGTTTGTTCCCCAAGAGAATGTAGAATATTTGTGACACTGTAGTTATGTTTTTATACTTTCCTAAGCAGATGCTTTTATATTAACAAATTTAGACACAAAGATAAGGTGTGACAGGAAATGGAGAGCTTCTATTTTTGTACAGACCCTGGTTTCTTTTGTCTTCGTGAATCCTCTGCAGAAATACAGTAAGTGAGAGCTGTAAGTTTAGTACACTTTTTAAAAAGTGAAATAAAGCCGGCGTGGTGGCGCATGCCTGTAATCCCAGCACTGGGGAGGCTGAGGCAGGAGGATCATTGCGAGTTTGAGGCCAGCCTGGGCTGCAAAATGACCTCAAGGCCAGCCTGAACTGCATAGCGAGACCGTCTCAAAAAGACAAAAAAAAAAAAAGTAAAATCGGGATAGTCATTTTATAATTTCATCTTCAGAGGATGAACTGTATAATCTTGTTTTTTGAGACAGGGTCTCATTATGTGGTGCATACTGGCCTCAGACTCAGGGTGATCCTCCTGCCTCAGCCTCCTGAGTGCAAGGGTAACAGGCGTGCGCCTCCACACCCAGCTATATAATTTTTTTAAATCACAAGAGCATTTATAAAAATCAATTTATAATGATCATAGAACTAAATCTTAAGATTTAGTTAATAAATGAACACTAAGATATTCTGATTTTTAATTGCACTGAGCAAACTTTCTATGGCAAGGTCTCACGCCACTCACTGTACACTCTAAGTACACAGCCTCACTGTGTAGCCCAGGCTGGCCTTGAACTCACGCGATCCTCCTGCCTCAGCCTCCAGAGTGCTAGGACAACGGGTGTGCACCACCCAGGGGGTCTGAGGAGCCACGTGACGGATTCATGGGCTCAGGTTGAGCATCACTGTAGACCAGTGGTCTCCGCTGCACTGTGACGGCTCTGTGACTCTCACCCCTCCTGTCTCGGCCTGCTGAGGCCGGGTCCCTGTGGATGGTCCCGCTCCACGCAGCTGGGCCAGAGCTGGGCAGAATTAGCCACAGGGTGGTGCTGTTTTCCGTGTCTCTGAACTTGTTGCCTTGGGCCTTGTGGCTGAGAGAATAAAATGCATTGAAATTCTCCTTTCTGTGTAGTAATCTGTGTCTGCATACCATCGCATCCACGGGGAAGGATGCAGCCCTCACAGGGCGTGGTTTGAATGGAGCCTGTGTAATCCTCTGGTGCTGCCTGGTGGTCCTCTTTGCAGATTTCTCAGCCTCAGAAGCTTAGTGTCACCTGAGACTCTTAGGGCAGAGCCAGGCGTGGTGCTGCACATTCTTATCCCAGCACTGGGGAAGCTGAGGCAGGAGGATTCCTGTGAGTTCAAGGCCAACCTGGGCTACACAGGGAGACCCTGCCTTAAAAAAAAAAAAAAAAAAAAATCAACCTAAGAAAGGAAGAGTGCTGTAAAATGCTGTAAGGCCTTCCTCTGCTCCAGCTCCTCTCCTACATGTGTCAGCTTCTGAACCCAGTTTTGATGAAAAGACAAGCGAAATGACCTTGCCCAAGGGTCTTCATTGAGACCTTGGCCCACAGCGAAGCAGATTGCGCAGACAGTGGTGCAGGGCCTTGGCCTTTTGGCTTGGCAGTGTGGCTGGGACACATTTCCTCCTTCAGGACAGATTGTCCTTGTTTCATTTGTTTTTTGTTTTACCTCTGCCCCACTCTTCCTGGGAGCCCCCAAGAGTGATTCTTTCAAAAAATCCTGATTTGAGGGAGAAATTCTCCTACATTGCATGCTGGGACAAATGATAACTGTTGTCCTTCTGAACTTTCTTTTTTCTTCATTTGGTTTGTTTATTTTATTTTAATTTTTTTTTTTTTTTTTTTTACCAGGAATTCAACTCAGGTCCTTGCACTTGCCAGGCAGGCGCTTGGGCCACTGAGCTATATGCCTGGCACTTTTTTTTTTTTTTTTTTTAAAGAGAAGACTAAATAGAAGAACAATAGCAAAATATCAATAACATAGACAAAAGCAAAACAAAGCAAACCAAAAATGATACAGGGTTTCAGAACAAAATGATAGGAATTAACAGTGGTTGTTATATTACATATTGTTATCTTCAGTGAAGTTGCTCAGATCACCAGATGTACGAATAGGAGATTGATCAAACCATTGGTTTGTTTATGTTTTCTTTAGAGACAGGGTCTCACTATGTTGCCCAGGCTGGCCTCAGACTCCTGGGCTCAAATGATCTTCCTGCTTCAGCCTCCCGAGTAGCTGGGAGTGCAGGTCCTCTCCACCGTTCCTGGTTTAGGGCCTTATTTTTTTGTTTGTTTTGAGACAGGGAAACACTATGTAGTTCAGGCTGTCCTTGAATTCTTGGTGGTCTTCCTGCCTCAGCCTCCAGGATGCTGGGCTTCCAGGTGTGCCCACCAAGCCCAGCAAGATTAGGCCGTTACAGTTGTGCTGCGCTAAACACGGTGTGTGCAGACCACTGTAACGTGAGGACTTAACTCTGCAGAGGTCGCCTGCGGGGAGGGCAGCGCCGGGGCGATGGGTTTCCAGCTTCGGGCGGTCGGGAACCGCCAGGCTGGTCTCACCGCGGCTGTGTACCTCGGGCCGCCGCCTCTCCGGGGCTTCTTCCTCTGCTTCCTCGTTTTTCCCGCCCGCGCCGGTGACCGTGCGCTGCTGCTCCCCAGGGGAGGGAAGGCTGCCTCCTCCGAGATCAGAACGCAGTGCTTCAGGCTCTTGGGGGACAAGGGAATGTCGCGTCCCTCCGGCGCTGGAGTGAAACGGCGCTGACAGCTCGGGTGCGGGCGGAAGCTTCCACCCGGAACTCTTCGCTTGGGGTTTTCTGACCACGAATGCGAAAAACAGCGTCTGCACAAATCCCCCGAGGTGAGGACGGCACCTCCGCCGGGAAAACCCTACACTCCGTCGGTCCGGCTGCTGTGTGGCAGGTAGAGGCGCTTTTACACGAGTGTCCCCGTAGCTGACTTTGTCCCTTAGCCGCTGCTGAGTTAGGATTTGCTAGCGTAGAGCCAGATGTGGTGGCACACATCTGTCATCCCAGTTCCCGGGAGGCTGAGGCAGGAGGATTGCGGGGAGTTCAAGGGCAGCCTGGGCTGCATAGCGGACCCTGTCTCATCCGTGGTGGCCCGGATATGGGGGGGTGGGTGAGAATGGGGGACAAAAGCCAGAGCCCACCGTACTGCTGCCACCCCACACGCGGTGGTCTGAAGAGTGGTTTCTGAGCCTAACACTTTGCTGTGGGACCCAGGGTCCAGGGAGGGAGGTGAGCTTTATGGTGACACCTGCCAGAGTCCAAACTTCAGCAATTTACTTCATCTTTTTTTTTTTTTTTTTCCTGTACCAAGGATTGAGTCCAGAGACTTAAAACTGAGCTATGACCCCAGGCTTTTAACATTTTTTAAAAATTTTGAGATGGGGGTCTCATTAAGTCCCTAAATTACCCAGGCTGGTCTTGAATTTGCAATCCTCCTGCCTCAGCCTCCCAGAATTCTGCGAGTACAGGTGTGCACGAGCACATGGGTTTACTTCATACTTTGCAACGACTTTTTTTTTTTTTGGTACCAGGCACATGACTCTTTAGTTGGATTAATCTCATGACTTTATTATAAAATTGTCCCTCAGAAAATGGGTGCAGCCGGAGACCATCATGTTAAGTGAAGTTAATCAGACACCCCGGCTCCAAGACTGTTTCTCGCCCGAGAAACCCCAAGTGTAAACAAGTTGCACCGCAAAGTGAAAGAGCTCACGGGAAACGGAGAGGTGGGTCTTTTGGCTACAGGAAGGGGTCCAAGGGATTTCTCAGGACTGCATTTCGGGTTCCAGGCCCAGCAGTTCGCAGGAGCGGGCAGCAGGGGGCGCCGGGGGACCGCAGAAAGGAAAACCGAGCCCGCAGCCCGGGGACCGGGAGCCGCGCCCTCCCCGGCCGAGTGGAAAGCTACCGGGACCAACGCTTTGATTTGTTTGTTTGTTTGTTTGTTTGTTTTTCCGGTACCGGGAATCGAACTCACGACCATGCACTTGCCAGGCAGGCGCTGTGCCGCCGAGCTAAATCCCCAGCCCCTGATTTGGGGTTTCTATCTCCGCGGAGACAAAACCCGGGTAGAACCAGATTAGAGGGCACCTTCTGCCCCTTTCCTTTCGGGATAGAAAAATTACAGAAAGGCTGGTTTTCCTCTGTGCTCACAACTGAGTTTCCGGGACAGGAAGGAAATTCTTCGCCAGTTCTCCGGTTTTAAGGAAGAAAAATAGGCAGACACACACCTGTCGCGGCCCAGCACGTGGGAGGCCGAGGCAGGAGGATCCCTGGGAGTTCCAGGCCAGCCTGGGTTACATAGTGAGTTGAAGGCCAGTCTGAACTACACAGTAAGAGAAAACTTGAGTAGGTGAAGGAAACTTTAAATGTCCTTTCTTCAAAAACTGTGTAAATCAGCCAGGGCTGGTGGTGCATGCACCCTGGGAGGCTGAGGCAGGAGGATGGCAAATTGAAGCTCAGCCTGGGCCGCTTAGTGAGACCGTGTCTCAGAAAGCGCAGGGGGTGGGCTGCGGCTCAGTGCAGCCCTGGCTCGGTCTCCAGGACCCGCGTGGCCAGGACAGCCTGTGCCCCACGGCCCTGGCGCCGCCCGGCTTCCGGGGCGCTGCTCGGCTTGAGTCCCGGGGGAGGCTCTGCCCACAGCCCGGCCGCCCCGAGGGACAAGCGGGCGGCGGGAGCCTGAGCTCCGGGGGCCTTGAGTGGCATCGCCCGGGGGCTGCCCT